CCTTAGGCTCAGGTCATGACCTTGGGGTCCTGGGATCAAGCCCTGCATCAGGCTCTCTGCTCAGAGGGGAGCCTGCTTCCCTCTCTCTCTCTGTCTGCCTCTCTGTCTACTTGTGATCTCTGTCTGTCAAATAAATAAATAAAATCTTTAAAAAAAAATCAACGGGATACATTTGGAAAATAAATGTGGTCTTATTCACTGATTCGTGGGTTAGGTAGCATCCTATCGTGCATGTAGAAAAGGGCTCTGGGGAGCTGTACAAAATGGAAGACTTTTATAGGCAGAAATGGGGCTGGACAAGGAAGTTATTAGCAAAAGAAGAGAATGGGTTGTTGTGGGCAAGGTCCTTTGAACAACTTCCTTTGAGGAGAAATGCTGGACATCTAGCATGCAGATTTACCTAACTGGTGTGGATCAGAAAATTCCAGATTGACTGGTTAAAAGTCACATTCCTGCAATTAAGTCTTGATAGGCTGTCCTGGGGGCCAGCAACTCCATTTTGTGCCGTTCTTCCTTCCTTCCTTGTTTATTCTTAAGTCGTCTCTACACCCAATGTGGGGTTCTAACTCATGACCCCAAGACAGTGGTAGTGCTCTTGTGACTGAGTGAGCCAGGCATCCCACTTTCTTTGTCTTGTCTTCACTTTTCTCTTTTCTTCTTTCTTTCTTTCTTTCTTCCTTTCACACATGGTTGCACACCTTTTTTTCTTTCTTCCCTTCACAAGTACATAAAATCTCAATAACATCTTTTTTTTAAAAGATTTTATTTATGTATTTGACAGACAGAGATCACAAGTAGGCAGAGAGGCAGGCGGGGGGGGGGGGAAGCAGACTCGACGCCGAGCAGAGAGCCCAATGTGGGGCTCGATCCCAGGACCCTGGGATCATGACCTGAGCCGAAGGCAGAGGCTTTAACCCATTGAGCCACCCAGGGCCCCTCAAATGATAACATCTTATATTTATGAGATACTATACAGATGGCCCCCATTTATGACAGTACAACTGACATTTTCTTGAGTTTACTGTGTGTCAAGTGATAGGCATTCAGTAGACATTGTACTTTGAACTTTGAATCTGGGTCTTCCCTCGGACCAGCGATATATGGTATAATTCTCTCTCGTGATGTTGGACCACGGCAGCCACAGCTCCCAGGTAACCATGGGATCTGGAAGGTAAACCATTCTCTCCTGTACAACCATCCTGTTTCTCGCTTTCAGCACAGCATTCAATCAATTACATGAGACAGTCATCACTTTATTACCAAATGGGCTTTCTGCTAGATGATTTTGCCCAACTGTAGACTAATATAAGTGTTCTTGTAACCAGGCTCAAGGAGTTTGCTGCTTGGGATACATCAAATTGAACACAACCCAAGGAAGTGTTGAAAGCAAAGAGCTTTTTAATTACTTGTTGCAAGTAAGGAGACAGCAGATAGCTCTGCAAGCACTGTCTCTGGGGCTCCTGGCTGGCTCAGTCTGCAATGTGTGAAACTCTTGATCCTGGAGTCGTGAGTTTGAGTCCAACGTTAGGGATAGTGCTGACTTCAAAAAAAAAAAAAAGGTACTATCTCTCCTCGGATCAGTACAGGAGGAAGCTTTATAAAAATCAATTAATTAGGGGCACCTGGGTAGCTCAGTGGGTTAAAGCCTCTGCCTTCGGCTCAGGTCATGATCTCAGGGTCCTGGAATAGAGCCCTGCATCGGGCTCTCTGCTCAGCGGGGAGACTGCTTCCCTCCCCCTGCCCCCCTCTGCCTCTCTACCTGTGATCTCTCTCTGTTAAATAAATAAATAAAATCTTAAAAAAAAAATAGTGGCGCCTGGGTGGCTCAGTGGGTTAAGCCTCTTCCTTTGGCTCACGTTATGATCTCAGGGTCCTGGGATCGAGCCCCACATCAGGCTCTCTGCTCAGCAGGGAGTCTGCTTCCCCCCCCTCTCTCTGCCTGCCTCTCTGCCTACTTGTGATCTCTCTCTCTGTCAAAAAAAATAAAATATTTTTAAAAAATTAATTATGGATCAAATAATTTTAAACAAATTTTTAAATTTTAATTAAAAAAAAAGGATTTATTTATTTGACACAAAGAGAGAAACAGGGAGAGAGGGAACACAAACAGAAAGAGAGAGAGAAAGAGGGAGAAGCAGGCCTCCTGCCGAGTAGGCAGTGGATGCGGGGCTTGATCCCAGGACCCAGAGATCATGACCTAAGCTGCAGGCAGACCTTAAACGACTAAACCACCTAGGTGCCCTAAATTTTTATTATTATCTTTTAAATTTCAATTTTAGGTAGTTGACATGCAGTGCAATACTGGTTTCTGGAGTAAAATTCAGTGATTTGTCACTTATGTAGAACACCCAGGGCTCATCCCAACAAGTGGCCTCCTTAATACCCAGCACTCACCTGGCCCATCTCTCCCCACCTCCCTCCATCAACCCTCCATTTATTCTCTATCATTAAGAGTCTCTTGGGACACCTGGGTGGCTCAGTTGGTTAAGGGTCGGCCTTTGGCTGAGGTCATGATCCCAGGGTCCTGGGATTGAGCCCCCTGTTGGGCTCCCCACTCAGTGAGTAGTCTGCTTCTCCCTCTGCCCATCCCCCTGCTTATACTCCCTCTCTCTCTCCTTCTGTCTATCTCTCAAATAAATAAATAAAATATTTTTAAAAAAGATTCTCATCATGGGGCTCCTGGGTGGCTCAGTGGGTTAAAGCCTCTGCCTTTGGCTCAGATCATGATCTCAGGGTCCTGGGATTGAGCCCCGTGTTGGGCTCTCTGCTCAGCGGGGAGCCTGCTTCCCCCTTTCTCTCTCTGCCTGCCTCTCTGCCTACTTGTGATCTCTCTCCCCGTCGAATAAATGAATAAAATCTTAAAAAAAAAAAGTCTCTTACGGCTTGTTTTCCTCTCTTTTTTTCTTTTCCTCCTTCCTGTATGTTCCATATATGAGTAAGATCATACAGTATTTTCTTCCTCTGACATGTCACTTAGCATAATACACTCTAGCTCCAGCCATGTCACTGTATTTGGCAAGATTTCATTCTTTTTGATGACTGAGTAATCTTCGTGTGTGTGTGTGTGTGTGTGTGTGTGTGTGTGTGTGTGTTTATCATATCTTCTTTATTCATTCATCAGGTGATGGACATTTGGGCTCTCTCCATAGTTCGACTATTATTGATAACGCTGCTATGAACGTCGGGGTGCATGTATGCCTTCAAATCTGTATTTTTGTATGTATCCTTTGGGTAAATGCCTAGTCGTGCAATTGTTGGATACCAGGGCAGTTCTATTTTTAACATTGTGGGGAACCTCCATACTGTTCTGCAGAGTGGCTACACCAGTTTGCATTCCTACCAGTGCAAGAGGGTTCCCCTTTCCTCCTTGTGCCCACTGACACCTGTTGCTTCTTGTGTTGTTAATTTCAGCCGTCCTGACAGGTGTGAGATGGTATCTCCTCGTGTTCTCGATTTGTATTTCCCTGATGCTGAGTGACGTTGAACATCTTTTCATGTGTCTGTTAACCATCTGGATGTCTTCTTTGGAAAAGCACCTATGCAGGTCTTCTGTCCATTTCTTAACTGCGTTATTTGGGTTTTTTTGGTGTTGAGTTTAATAAGTTCTTTGTAGGTTTTTGGATACTAAATCTCTGTCGGATATGTTGTTTGCAAATATCTTCTCCCCTTCTGTAGGTTGACTTTTAGTTTGGTTGACTGTTAGGAAGCTTTTACTCAGTGTATTAGGGGGAAGGGGCGGGGACCTCACATAAGCACTTTAGTTGAACTGTGCATGTCTAGCATGTCAGCATGTTAGTGCATAGACGGTATAGTGAAAAAAAAAAAAAAAGGAGTGAACTGCACCCATAGGAGGAGATCTTACTATTATAATGAGCTAAAGGGAACTTCAGGACAACTCAGGGAAGCTTCTTTTCAGGTCATCAGCTCCATTCCAGCACAGTGTTTGAAACTGTGGCTGGCTATGACGGCCTTTTTCACCCATGCCCTTCACCTGCCCCCAGACCCAAAGCTGGACTCAGGCTCTGCTGCTTCTAGATTGTTTTTTTTTTTTTTTTAAAGATTTTATGTATTTATTTATTTATTTGACAGAGAGAGAGAGAGAGAGAGCACAAGTAGGCAGAGAAGCAGGCAGAGAGAGGGGGAAGCAGGCTCACTGCCGAGCGGAGAGCCCGATGCGGGGCTCGATCCCAGGACCCTGAGATCATGACCTGAGCAGAAGGCAGAGGCTTAACCCACTGAGCCACCCAGGTGCCCCTGCTTCTAGAAAGATTATCTGTGGGTAAGGGCATGTGGGTGTAGGAGGGACCCTAGCAGTCAATAGCCCACCTGGTCCCTCCCCCCAGAAGCCTTCCTGGATTGCAGGAAATGACCCCTTCCCCTGGCTCTTCCACCCACGGGGGATGAGAATCAGGTAGGAGAATAACAGATATCAACCTGCCACCAGATAATTTTCTGCTTTGTCTTGTACATTTCTCGCCCATTAGTCCACTTGGTTCTGAAGCCAGTCCTGTGAAGGAGGTAACAAGTAATACCCTTCCCATTCTACAGGCAAGGACACTGAGGCCCAGAGAGGTTAAGTGGGGTCTCCAGGGTCAGAAGATGAGGCAGACCCTAGGCTTGCGCCCAGCTTTGTAAATCCCCAGGCAAATTAGCCACCCTGCCTTCACAGGGGCTCAGACCCGAGTGAACGTCCATTGCATTTTATATTTTCTTAACACTTGTCTCAGTACAGCAGGAGGAGATGGAGGACTGGGGGATGGTAACTCCAGAGAACTTCTTCGTGGGAGGGTGGGTAGGGCTGGCAGAGGGCCAGATGAGGATGCTGGGATCCTGGGAAGGGCAGAAGAAAGAAATCGGAGAGAAAAGCCAGTTGACCTGGAAATTGTCCCTGGGGGCCCATGGAAACTCAAAGCTCTGGTGGGAAGGTGTCTACTACCTTCACAGGTCCTTGGAGAGAAATGCAGTTCACAGACATTCCCTAGGCAACTTAGGAAGACCACCTCCCTCCTCCCATTGTGAGGCAGTTCTGGGTACAGGCAGTGGGGTAGGGTGGGAGGAAACAGAGGCGGTAGGGGCAGTGACCTGGGCTCTGCCTGCTTCCACCCCCTTCTGACGCCTTTGGTCACCCCCACCATCATGGGCAGTGCTTACCACTGGGAGGCCCGGCGTAGGCAGATGGCTTTGGACCGGAGGAGGTGGCTGATGGTCAAGCACCAGCGGCAGCAGCAGGAACAGCAGGAGCAACAGGTGCAGGAGAGGGTCCGGGTTCATCAGGGTCCTTCCCTGGGGTGGGGGTGGGACTAGAGGGGAGTGGGGAGGGAAGACCGATGTCTAGGAAGCTATTATTTGGTCAATGTATTTTTTTAAGATTTTATTTATTTATTTGACAGAGAGAGATCACAAGTAGGCAGAGAGGCAGGCAGAGAGAGAGAGGGGGAGGCCGGCTCCCCGCTGAGCAGAGAGCCCAATGCGGGGCTCGATCCCAGGGCCCTGGGATCATGACCTGAGCCGAAGGCAGAGGCTTAACCCACTGAGCCACCCAGGGGTCCTGGTCGATGTATTTTGCTAGGAGTAGAAAGAAAGTCAAGGTCCTTCGACATTCTCTTAGATGGACTGTGTCTGTGTGTGTGTGTATTGTGGTAATTCAACTTTGCTGTTGTACTAGGCTGAGGCCTAGTGTGGGATCCAGGGAGGTTCAGGCCTGAGAGATTTTATTTATTTTTTATTTTTATTTTTAAGGACTTTATTTATTTGACGGAAAGAGAGAGAGAGAGAGAACCAGCAGGGGAAGTGGCAGACAGAGGGAGAGGAAGAAGCAAGCTCCCTGCCCAGCAGGGGCCCTGGGATCATGACCTGAGTGGAAGGCAGACGCTCAATGACTGAGCCACTCTGGCACCATGGCCTGAGAGATTTTAAGGCTGCCCTGTCCAATAGGGTGGCCACCAGCCTGTGTGCTGTTGAGCCTTGAGACGGGGCTAGTGAGACTGAGGAACTGAATTTAAAATTGTATAGAGGGGGCGCCTGTGTGGCTCAGTGGGTTAAAGCCTCTGCCTTCAGCTCCGGTCATGATCCCAGGGTCCTGGGATAGAGCCCCACATGGGGCTCTCTGTTCAGCAGGGAGCCTCCTTTCCTTCCTCTCTCTCTGCCTGCCTCTCTGCCTACTTGTGATCTCTGTCAAATAAATAAATAAATAAATAAATAAATAAATAAATAAATAAATCTTAAAATTGTATAGAGATTTAATTAATTTAAATCTAAATTTAAAACCAAATACTCTTTATGTATTGGAAAACTTTGAAGTATGTTTAGAACGACTTGGATAGAACAATTTTTCAACTGTAAATTAATGAAATCTAAATCTAAAGCAGTTATTATTATTATTATGTTAAGATTTTATTTATTTATTTGACAGAGAGAGGCACAGTGAGAGGTGAGAGAGGAAACGCAGGCAGGGGGAGTGTGAGAGGGAGAAGCAGTCTTCCTGCCCCATGCAGGGCTCGATCCCAGGACCCTGGGATCATGACCTGAGCTGAAGGTAGACGCTTAGCGACTGAGCCACCCTCGTGCCCCTAAAGCAATTATTTTTGATCAAAATGTAGAGTCCAAATTCAGATGTGCTGTTAAATATAAAATACATGCTGTATTTTGCAGACTTAGTACAAAAACACAGAATATAAACTATCTCACTCATATTTTCTTTTTCTTTTCTTTTTTTAAAAGATTTTATTTATTTATTGGACAGACAGAGATCACAAGTAGACAGAGAGGCAGGCAGAGAGAGAAGGAAGCAGGCTCCCCGCTGAGCAGAGAGCCTGATGCGGGGCTTGATCCCGGAACCCTGGGATCATGACCTGAGCTGAAGGCAGAGGCTTTAACCCACTGAGCCACCCAGGCGCCCCTCTCACTCATATTTTCATATTGATTATATGTTTTGGAGGTATTGGGCTAGATAAAATATATTAAAATCGGTTTCACCTGTTTTCTTCCTGCTTTTTCATGTGGCTACCAAATTTGTAAATTACTTGTTGCTTGCCTTATATTTCTCGTGGACAGTGCTGTTTCAAAGTGTTTGCAAGAACGTATCCTTTATTCTCCCCTTACTGCTCCCAAGGTAGGAGGTAGGTGAGCGGAGACTGTTGTTTCCTGGGCCGGGGGCTGTGCCAGGGGGCACTGTCACAGAAGAAACAGGTCTTTGGTGTTGTGGGGCGAAGGGAGATAGCCCAGCCTCCAAGTCCAGGGAACAGAGACTTTCACACCACCTCTGTCTCTCCACTGATCGCTTGCCTTGCTCCCTGCAGTGTCTCTGGCAGATGGGTGACTGGGTAGGGAGGGAGGAGGATGCCACTTGTCGGGGGGCTTCTTGCCAGGAACTGAAGAAACTCCAAGAGGAGAAAGGCCAATCTGAGAAAAAACCCCAGTCCCCTCGGGGGTCACGAGAGGAGCAGCAGCCACCACCGCCACAGAGGCCACCAGGAGCGCAACCACAGCAGCAGGCGCCCCCTGCCCAACCGCAGCCTTGCCGACCGCAGGTCCCCGAGCAGACACAGACCCCACGCGCCGGGCCATCGCAGCCACTGCAGCCACCGCCGCACCAAGGCAACAGAATGCCCAAGACCCTCTTACGCAGTGCACCTCTGTGCATGTTCTGACCCAAGAGTCAGGTCCCTAGCTTGGCTCAGTAGGGACCCATCAAGCTGAAGGGCAATCCAACTTTAACAGATTCCCAGGAGGAACAAAACCCCCTCAAGGCCCTAGTAAGTGAGATGCCTGGGAGGGCAGGTGGTGAGAACTTTCTGCTCCCAGAGTCCTATAACCCAGAGTCCACGTCCGTCTTCCCACTGTCTCTGATACCCTCTTGGGGCATCCTTGGCTTTTACTTGGGGGCCACTCCCCCTGGGATGTATGCCTCACTCCAGGGGTGCAAAAGAGGCTGCTGACTTTTGCAGGGGGCAGCAGCTCCTCCTCTGAGACGAGGGTGTCAGAGGGAGTGAGGGTGGGCTTAACAAGATACTTACCCAGCCCTGGCAAGTCTGGAACAGGGAAGGACAGTGCAGGGTTCCCGGTTGTGAATTTTCAGGGTAGGCTCCGTCGGTGCCTTGCCCTAGGTGGGGGCTGCCGCCTGGGCCCCAGACACATAGTAGAGTCCAGCTCTGCCGCGTTCCTTTTTCAGAAACTGTCAGATGCATGATGTTGTGCTTTCTCTCACCGTCAGGTTTCAGGAAGTCATTCCAGTCAAATCCAGATAAACACGCAGAGCACTCACGATTCACGGTGAGACAGTGTGAAAGGCAGGTCGACTCTGGCTGCGTGTGTAAGTGTGTGCGGAATCTAGGGAGGCTTCCTTGGTGGGAGGGGCTACAGTTATTTGTATTTTATGAAGTCAATTACGTAAAGCCTTTATACAGCAATTGTATGGTCACTGCTGGATGGCCCATTCCTTCATTTGTTGACTTCCCAAAAAATGTGGAGGAGGACCTGTCGCTCAGCACTTGGCAGAAACGGAGGGCTTGAAGATCTATTCAGAAAGACAGGACTGGGGCCAGAGAAGCAAACCAGAGGGGCTGTTTTTTAAGTGCCGGCTGGGGCAGAGGCAGCTGGAGCAGGAGGGCAGGACATAAAGTCAGAGATGGGAGTCTCGGGATCGCCACTCCCCAGCTGCGGGATAGCATCTCTGGGCCTCGAGGGCCCGTCCATAAACTGACAGTGATAACACCACTTCCTTGACAGACATGTCAGGACCACTGAATGTGGCAACTGAAAGAGAAGGCATCACAAGCCCTTAGCTTTGAACCTGGCTCAATCCAGGGCTTCGAACCCGGGGGTGGTCACCCTTTATGAGGACGTGACACAGTACAAGCTTTGGAAAGAAGGTTTCTCTGACACAGGTGCAAAGGACGAGAGAGCCCGATGCTAGCCCAGTTAGGGTGGGTGAGGACTGGGGCGCTCCATTTTATGTTTATTCCTCTGGCCTCAAAAGGGCCAATACAATGTTCTGGAACAGCAGGCCCAGAAATGGCTAACTAACCCGGTTTGCCTCCCGTCTCTCCCTCTTCTCAGTCGACGAATTACGTGCAGCAGTGGTGATCCAGAGACAGACCCTCAACCCCACTGGCCATCAGCAAAAAAACCCAGATGACCGCTTTCTCACCCCCTCCCCGCCCCCAGCATCTCCACTCCAAAAGTCACTCCTCTTGATTCACTCTAGAAGAGGAGGCTAGCTGGGCATAAAATGTGATTTCCTCTTGAAAAGAATCAAGAGACTGGTCAGCTCTGTGAGACTGGAAGCGAGGGGAGAATGAGGACCTGTGAAAGGGATGGAGTGGGTGGGAGAAGGAAGTAGGTGATTCCATGCTTCTGTAGGCAAAGCCAATGGGAGAACTTGGTCTTGACCATCCCAAGTCTATAGCTCCATTGCTGGCTCTTTTTTTTTTTTTTTTAAGATTTTTATTTATTTATTTGACAGACCGAGATCACAAGTAGGCAGAGAGGCAGGCAGAGAGAGAGAGGAGGAAGCAGGATCCTTGCAGAGCAGAGAGGCTGATGCTGGGCTCTATCCCAGGACCCTGGGACCATGACCTGAGCCAAAGGCAGAGGCTTTAACCCACTGAGCCACCCAGGCGCCCCCCCCAACTTTTTTTTAAAGATCATTGCTGGCTCTTCTTTAGCAAGGACAGGTCTGTTGGGGGCTTCAAAGCTTTTATTTATTTGAGAGAGAGCGAGAACATGTGTGTGCTTGAGGGAGTGATGGGAGGAGCAGAGGGAGAGGGACAAGCAGACTCCCCCCCCCTTTTTTTTTTAAAGATTTTATTTATTTATTTGACAGAGATCATAAGTAGGCAGAGAGGCAGGCAGAGAGAGAGAGGGGAGGAAGCAGGCTCCCTGCTGAGCAGAGAACCCGATGCGGGCCTCGATCCCAGGACCCTGAGACCATGACCTGAGCCGAAGGCAGAGGCTTTAACCCACTGAGCCACCCAGCCACCCTGACAAACCGACTCCTTGCTTAGCACAGGGCCGGACACAGGGCTCCATCTGGCAACCCTGGCTCAAGCCGAAATCAAAAAAGTCAAGTTGGATGCTTAACCAACTGAGGCCCCCCGGCACCCCCCCTGTTGGAGGCTCTAGGTTTAGGACTCTCGCTGGAACCATCACCCCTCCCCACTGGCAGATGCTTACTGAGAAGGAGGAGTTGCATCACACCAGAGCAGGCCTGGAGCTGGACTGGAGGTGGCAGGCAGGGCCCCCCTGAAGTCCAGTGTAATGCCTGGCCCATAGCGGGCACTGAGCTGTGGCATGGATGACGGGACGCAGGGCTGGAAAGAGCTCAGAGGAAAGGCGGACTGTCCCCTTAAACACAGGACACCTCATCTTGGGAAGGGGAGGCAGACTGGCCCACAAAACCCCACAGGCCTCTTCCTCCACCTCAGCCCTTCCCGGAAGCAGTCAGCCTTCACCCCCTCACCACTTCCTGAAGCGGACATCCGGGGTCTCTCCCATAGCCTGTCCCCTTTTCCACCTGGCGCTGATGAGGGGATGCCTGGGCCTTTCACGGAAGCCTACGCAGGCTGAAGGGGCCCCTCAGTGCAGTGTTTCCCCTGGGGGACCTGGGGTAGGGCACAGAACAGGAATATTAAAGTAGGGAGGGAACTTAAGAGACACAAGGTGAAGGAAGGGGGAGAGGGGATGGTTGGCAGAGGGGCTCAGGGCCTGGGGAGGAGAGCTTGGCACCCACTCAGACACCCCCAAACAGCCCAGCAGTGTCGCGCAGGTCCAGCTCTCCTCCCAACTCACAGGAGGCTCTTTGTTTACTCTTTAACACTGTGAAGTGTAGTTCACTGAATACAATATAAATCCTTTACATTTGGCAACTGACACTCAGCAGAAACTCCAGGCTGGCCTTTCCGGACTTTTGTGCTCCTGCCAGCCTCTTCCTGACTCTAGTTACTCAGGCATGAATGCGGGGAGACAGGACAACCTCTTTCCTTCCCGTTGTCCCCCGCAGCCAGCTAGCCAGGTGCTGTCCCCACTGCCTCCTCTCCACCCATCCAACTTGGCATTCAGCTTTCCCCACCACCTAAGTTCATCTCCAGGCCTGAGAGAAACCACAGCTGCCTTTAGCGAGCAATTACCATTCCTGCTCAGTGCCTCCAGCTGCAGCCCAGTGGGAGCCCGAGTTAGCTGGGACTTCGCTTCTTCATCCGAGTGACAGCAAAAGAGAGGTTAAGACCAGCCCCTCCTGATGTGCGGTTCCAGCCTGCCCATGCCCGAAGGAAAGCAGAGGCCTCTGGGAGCAGAGGATGGGCCTTGGAGCTAAGCCGGGGAGGCCGTAGAGCCCAGCAGCTTGTGGCCGAAGCCTGACAGCTTGACCTCTGTAAGCTATCGCAGAGCAGCAGCTGGGGCCACCGGCTGACTGACCTGGGTCCAGGGTTGTGGGCCAACCACCAGCCAGAAGCCTAACTTCAATAAATGCCTTCCCAAGTGACTCTGGCTTCATCTTCTTTTTTTTTTTTTACTGGAGAGACGGAGGGGGTGCCAGATGCCTCCCTCTCCTCCCCTACTATGTTTGCTCCTGCTGTCATGGGAATAATAAAACGATTTTCTGGTGAGAGCTTTAGCCAGAGAAAAGCTCTGTCTTCCTAGGAACGGGGGCAGCCTTTAACCGGGGAGGCCGCCGAGCTGCAGGCTCTTAGCCAACCTTGCCCCTTGCCGTCGGGCAACGGCACAAGTTCCCAGGAGAGAAGCCGACCAGCCCCACCCCTTTGTCACGTGACCAAAGCCAGAAGGAACGAGACAGCACGGACATCCCTCAAGTCACCCTCCCAACACTGGGTGGGGAACTTGAAAAAGATCCATGTTTTAAAAGCCAGATAAAATGAAAGATTTCTCCCTTCAGGCAGGAGGAAGGCCAGCCCCAGAGGAGCGAGGCAACCAAGGTACTCAGTACAGAGAACAAATGCCACCTCAAGGCTATATCAGGTCAGGCTCTCCTCAAGACAGACACAGGGGAAAGCCTGGCACTGGCTCCTAGAAGAACCAGACTTCTTTTCTGGTGGAAGTCAGAGGACGTGAGTGACGTGCATCTGTGCTTGCGTGCGCACGTGTGTGTGTGTGTGTGTGTGTGTGTGTGTGTGTGCAGGTAAAGTTAACGTCCACATAGGGCTTCCTGTGGTTGAGGGGGTGTGTGTGGTGGGGGGAGGTAGAATAAAGAAGAGCTTTTCCTTTGGCAAAGTCACCGTAGTCCTTCCTTGGGTTCTGGGAGATACAGCCCAGGCTGGCAGCGGCCTGGAGTGCGGGACCAGCAGGCAGGTCACGGAGGATGAGGGACCAGCAAGTGGGGCACTGAAGAGTTTCCCCGGCAGTCCACGTACTCATAGTTCTGGAAGACTAGCTGCTCTGAATGGCTCAGGTAGGAACAGGTCAGGGTGCCCCTGGAGAGGAAGCACGCTTTGTTGCTATGTCTGGTGGCGGAGGGGCAGGGGGAGAAGAGGAAGCTCTGGCCCTGCTCTGCTGTCTGGGGTGGGGGATCCCTCAAACAACCCCCCTTCCTTCTGCTCCCTGCTCTGCCAACGCACCTGGGACAGCTGTCCCACCTGTGATCCAGACAGCTCGGTGGCTGTCACACCGATGGCTTATAAGCAAGGCGGGGTCTAAGGAAGGGGTGGGATCTGCCTTCCCAAGAGCCAGCAAAGATCATGAAGTTAGCTTTGGAGGACCTCTCCCACAAGGTGAGCAGAGCACAGCTCTGCTGGGGTCAGGAGGCGGCGAGAGGGACACCCGGGCTCCAAGCCCTACTTACTGGATGTGCAAAAGCACGTGGTGGACTTTGATTTTCATCCAGGAACAGATTTTGCTGAGAGAGAAAGAACATGTGACCATGTTTCACACTGAGCAGCCCGGCAGCTCGGAGGAGACCTGCAGGTCGGTCCCAGGCTCCGGGCCTCTTTTCCATCAGGGGCCCCAAATGCCGTGCCCACTCTTTCTCCCTCTAAGGTGAGCACGTCACCCTTGCTGCAATGTCATTCCTCCAAGCCCTGTAGACTTGGCCCAGGGGTGTGCTAGCTCCTCCCTCAGCAGAAAACAAGACATTCATGCTTCTTAGTGATTTAGGCTGAAGAGTCCAAGGTCACCTATTGTAAGAATTAATTAAATTCTGGCCTGTTTTCATTCCATCCTAAGTCCAAACAGGCAGAGGGATGAGGACCCTGAATCCCTTGCAGATTGCAATCTTGGCCACGACAGTGAAGGCCAAATGCTGGCTGCAGGGAAGGAAATCTGGTAGGGATGAAGACTGGGTTTCCGACCAGGGATAGAGGCTAAGGGAGAAGAGATCAAGGGATACTTACTATGTGTTTTCATCCCAGATTTTGTTGGCCACTGCATAAAACATCTGTCAACCAAATGGGCACAGGGTGAACCCAGCTGCCCCTTCCAATCCCCACACGTGTCCACACCCCTGTGGGTAGGGCTGGCCCCGGGACGGGGGGTGGGGGGTCACCTGTTCACTGGCCAAAGGACCGATGTGGAGGAGGAGGCTATTGGTGACCTGCCCCACCACGAGGGACAGGTGCAGAACCTCGATGGTCAGCTGGGTCACCGTGATGGGGTAGTAGTTGCTATTGGAGATGTTCAAGATATTCTGAGGAGGAAGACAAGGGAAAGGGAAGTGGGAAGGTGACCATCCTTGAAAAGGAGAAGTCAAGTAGCTTCCTTATCCCTGCCTGCCCCTCCGCCTGACTGAGCCCCGCTCCCACTAAGGCCTCAGCTGCGGAAGTCCAGCGTCAGGAGCCCCCTGGAGTGGCACTTAATGGTGAAGGGTCACCGTAAGACATGAAGTTGGCCCAGGACCTAGGCTCATCCTGCAAGGCTTCTCTCTGTTCTATTCCGCCCACCCAGAGAGTCTCAGGCATGCCCTCCACACCCTGTGTTTTAGTTCTCTCACCCTGATTCTTCCCCCCTTGGGGTGTACAGTCCTAATTCTGCACGTTCCACTATGGGGCTAATGGTTGCACCTGCTTACCCCCAGGCTTCGACACCCTCTGGCTGCCACAGGACCCCTGGCTACCTGAGCCCAGGATGGCAACGCCCAACAAGGACCGCAGAGAAGAGTGGCTGGCAAGGCGGCATGGGGCTCAGGGGTGTGGGCGCCCACCCACCGTTATGTTGAGGTGGATGTCAGCCTCGTCAAAGGCCACTGTGGAGGAGTTGAGGCCCGCAGGCTGCACGGCGATGGACCGGGGAAACAGGAAAAAGACGATGAGGGAGGAGGTTAAAAGGCAGATGAGGACGGCCAGGAACACGAAAAGCTTCCTGTGGGAAAGAAAGCAGGATCCGGGGTAGAGGAAGGGACAGGTCTGAATGCCACAGAACCTTGGGCAGAGAGGGACACTCCTCTCCCTTGACCACTGAGCACCTTGGGCAGAAGGGGCAGGGATTCACGTCCAAGAGACCCATGACAAAGAGGGTCACGTCCCCCATCCGGGGACACTCAGGGCCACCTCCGAGGCTGTGCTGTACCTCAGAACAGATAGCAGCTCATTTTCCATCTCAACCAGAGAGAACAAGCAGGTCTGAGCTGCCACAGAGAGGGAAGCTCGCAGGAAAAATAACTTCCCCATATGAACCGCAGCCTGGGTCGTTTGCTCCCTCCCGAAAGACCTCGCAGAGTCAAGAGATCCTCCCTCTTTCCACAAGGGAGCCATGCTTCTTGGAAGCACCGAAGCTCCCGACAGCAGGTGGGCTCAGGTGGTACCTGCTGTGGCCCAGACTTCTTAAACCAGGAAAAGCCCTGGAAGCGGAGCCTCACTCAGTGAGGCTTCCCATGGAGAAGAACTGCGGTGGGGTGGCAGAATGGGGGAGACAGAGAACAGACCCCAGGGGTGACAGCTTGTGGAGCTGAGGTGAGAAAAGGGGCTTACGTGCGCCTGGGCTTCAGCCTCTGGTCCCCATAGGGGATGAGGGCCACTAGCTGCTTCTCTAGCTCTGTGGAGAGAAAGAAGGTAAGAGAGAGGGAGGGCCAAGAAGTGTGCATGACGAATGTTTCCTGTGCCAGCCTCCCAGAAGCAACCCCTTCACCCCACCGAGTGGGGGCAGAAGCATGCCACCTCTGCCCCAGAGCAGGACTGGGACCGCTGGGCAGATGACAGCAGCTCAACTTTGTCAGCTCCGGAATGGAAGTGAGATTTTCATTACCAAGTGTGAATTTCCGGAAGGCACCAGCAAATGAGAGAAGTCTAGCTTCTCTGGGAATCCTAAGGCACAGAGGAGGCTCAGAGGGACCTGAGCAGCTGGAATCCAGGCTCTTTCCAAAGCCTTGGGCCACTCACCTTGTGGGATCTCCCCGCTGCCCTGACAGGTGGGACAAATCACAAAGCTGGCACGGGCAGCCCCTTCACAAGGAGCTCGGGAACAGAAGGATTTGCTGCTTCGGGTGCTGGAGTATCGGGCAGCGTTGCTGCCAGTGGCCGGGCTGGGCGGCAGGATAGACCTGTTCTCCTCCCGAGAGCCCAAACGGGAGAATGTCTCACCCATCATTCAGGGGCAGTTTTCACTAAGGAGAAAAGAACAGAACAGAATTCACTAAGCTTGTTAGCACGGACATGGGAATGTCACTTTGGTTTTTGGGTTCTCAAGGTTGGCAAGGAGCACCACCTCAAATTCAGTAAGCTCCGGCCCAAGGAAGTTAGGATAGGGAAAACTGAGCTGTTACACGGGATTCTGGGATCAGAAATTTCAGTGTTATCTCCTTTCATTACTGCAGGGGAGCTCAATCTGCCTGTGAGAGGGAAGAGAAAAGAAAAGCAGAAGTTATTTCCCTAGAAGGGACTTCCAGAAGTGAATGGTGGAGCACTTTATTTTTATTTTCTGGGAAAGTTGCTGAGCTGTCAGTTGCTTCAGGGGAAGGAAGTGGACAGGGCTGGCGGGCGGTGGGGGAGGCCACAGTCCAGAGTCCCTTCACGCTCTGCGACAAGAGGACTCTGAAGAGGTGTCCAGGACCGCCCCCCCCTTCCGGGCAGAAATGCCTGCGATTTCCCAGCCTGGGAGTGGAAGGAAGGCTTCCATTCCTGAGCCCCGGCAGGTGCTGGCGGAATAGGAAGGCAGGGATTCTTTGAAACAAGAGAAAGGCGGCTAGGCTGGTCACAGGTGTGCCTAACAACCTTAAAAAAGCCCTGCCAGGGAGCAGAAATCTCTTCCTCACTGCTTTCTGTGGGGTAGGAAAGAATGCCTGGGGAAGGGTGGGAGCAATGGTCAGGGTCCATCCTACACTAAGGAATGCTAAAGGCTAAAAATCCAGATTTTCCCCCAAAGGGTCAGGAGTAGTAGCAGAATGAGAGGGCAAGGTGAGCCACACCTTGCTGGGCCAAAATCAAGGGCACCTCACCTGGTTCAGGTCTGGGATCCAACGCTCCTGTCAGCTAAGAGTGAGATTTCTGGAATGTGTCTTTCAGGAGAAAGGCTTGTAGGGCAGGGCGACCCGAGGGACAACGGGCTGGAGCTGGCCAAGCTACTGGCCCCCTTCCACTGAGTCCTGGGGGAGCGAATATGCAGCGTTGGAGAGGGGTGGGGAGTAGCGACCTCGGCCTACCAGGAGGAGCTAGGCTGCTTCCAGCCCTACTACCGGGCTCGGCCAGGGTCCCGAGTAGGAGAGCTGTCGCTCCGCAGAAGCTAGGATTTCACTGATGGAGAATTTCAAGTCCTTCCGGACACCCCGAGGCCGTCAGTCGAGGCTGTTAACCCCCGAGTGCCTACGTGAGGCTAGGAGGCACTGAAGGTCCCTCGGCCCTTGCCTCCCAAAGGGAAAGAAAGGAAAATCTGCGGAGCGCCTTACCCCACCCCCGGGCTGCAGCAGGACTAAAACGGCCGCAGGCAGAATCGAAAGTGCGCGAGGCCAGGGCCTCGCCCTACGCTTTGACTCGGCGTCGCGCGGGGGAGGCTCCGCCCAGCTCCTCCAGGCCCGCCCCCTCCCAGGGACACCCCCCCGCCCCCCTCCCAGGGGCCCGCCCCCTCTCGAGACACGGCGAGGGAAGAGCTCATCTTTTCACAGACCACCCCGCCGCCCCGACGCTGCTTCCGCAAGCACCAGCCACTCCAGGCAGGGCTTTCAAAGAACCTTTATTTGACCATTCTTGAAGCGGTTACATACAAGTACAATCGGACGGACGACTGGACCTCAGGGTCCTCCTGGACCCCTGCAATAACGATTCAGGAAGTCAGAACAGGTCCCGCCCCAAATCAACCCAATTAATTACACACACCCTGCCGCTCAGCCTCTACCCAGAAACCCGGATAAAAACGTTTTAAATAATGAACAGCCTGGTTGGCTTGCAGTCTGAATCTTGGTTTATTTAATAGCGGTCAAGAAGTATACTGTAAATAAACATCATGATGACTAATGATTAATTAATATCATCATTCATTATAAATACCAACCAGGTTAAATAATACTAGTTTACTATCCTTCCCCCTTTTGGATGAGGGTTAAGAGTCTTCTCTTTCTGGAAGTCATTTTCATGTATAATAGCTTTTAGTGTTTTTTTTTTGTTTTTTTTTTGTTTTTTTTTTTGTTACCTTTTCCTTCACCCATTGTACCCAAGACTCCTTTCTGTAAATAGAATGAGGACCGGGGGCCCTGTCAGCAAGCTTTCCAGTTCATTCTGGGGTTAACTCAAAAATTTTTCAGTTTGTCCCCTTCCAAGATTTGCAAAACAGTCTCCCCTGTGCTAGGCTCTCTCAGGCTGGATACCTTTGAGCAGATTTCAAACATTCAAGAAGCCATCAGCATTTCCTATTTGCCTGCCCCTGAACTGACTTTACTAGATAGAGCTGGGAGCCTGCCTTTCACTTTCCACCCTTCAACTGTAACATCTACCCTGACCTTAAGAAAAAAAGGTAACCGTTTTTTTTTTTTTCCTTTTAATAGAAGTTTTTCCCTTCTCTACAGTATTAGCAAAATATTTCACACTATCTACTTAAATTTGTTCCCTTAAATAAAGAAAAGTGTATGCAAAATGACTACAGTAAACACTGCTAACAGGTGCTGGTGGGTTAACGAGCACACTCCCTCCTCCTTTCACTGAAGTTCGGGGACCCACAAGGTGATCTTCCTGAATGTACCAGTGGGGTCTCTAGAAAACAACAGTGCTGATCACTAAGTCTTGCAGGGAACTGACTTTGCCCTTGAACAAGCTGGAGTAACAAGATTTCTCTGGGGCTCTGGGTGTCATTTCAATACCACACAGATACGAGACTTGGGGTGGGCTAGAAAAATTGTTAATAATTCTTGAAAACAACTTCCGAGATTAGGTTAATTTCTTTTAAAAACTGACAACAGATATCCCCATAGAAACATCCACATTTAACCAAAGGGAAATACTCAACTTTGATACAAGCAGAAAGAAAAACGGTTCTATAGGAAGTTCAAGTTATGCTCTTCAGATGCACTACAATGGAGACTGGAGCTTTATACAAATTAACTGAAAAACCGTTTTCCTACAATTCATCTGATGTCTCTGCTTCAGTTCTGGTCTTTGATTTGCTCCCCAAAATACTGTAATGCAGGTACTGTCTTAATAATTCAATAATGGGCTCTATAGATTCATCAGATTAAAAAATAAGCCAGGGCGCTTAGCCGCCACCGCTTCAACCCTGAGGACCTTTGGCCTTGTGGCTAGAGAGATTAGGCTACATCCTTCAGAGATCAAATTATTCCCGGCGCCATGAATAAAGGCAGCTCCTTTGCAAAGAACTCCAAGGAGGATACACAGAAATCAGAGAAGAAATGCAAGGCCTTCAAGGATATTTCCAAATACTTCTCTAAGGAAGAGTGGGCAAAGCTTGGATACTCAGATAAAATCACCTACGTGTACATGAAGAGAAACTATGACACCATGACTAGTCTAGGTCTCAGGGCCTCTCTCCTGGCCTTCATGTGTCCTAAAAAACGAGCCATGAAATCTAACGGGCGTGATTCTGATGATGATCAGAACGAGAATCAGGATGAATCTTCTCAGGAAGCTTCTGATGCTCAAGAGAGAGAGAAAATGAAGGTGATGCTCGAGAAAACAATAAAGGAAGAAAGCGATTCGGAACCAATACCAATAACACCTGGCCCTGAGCAGGCTCAGAAAGAGCCGTGCCCCCCAGAAGAAGCGAGTACCTCTGGTCAACAGAGTGAGAACATACCAGGACCCAGGAAAGTAATGAATAGCGTTTGGGCCTATAGACTGCGGGAAAGACAGACCCTGATCGTGTATGAAGAGATCAGTGATCCCGAGGAAGATGATTAAATCTGGATGTGACAAGTGCCCATGATAAGGAGCAGAACCTGGTGGCCTTTCACGAACATGGGCACGGCTGTGAACTCCTAGCCATCAGGTGTATAGCAAGTAAAAGAGTTCACAATAGTGAAAAGTTAAGCACGATTTTTCTTACTATGTGCCAGATATTCTGTTAGATAATAGAGCTCTGTTAATAAGCAAGACATCTACTCAATGCATATTTCTTTCTGTGTATCCATGCACTTACTTTAGAAAACAAAGTATCATGGGGGTATTCTCTGCCCAGAACAGCACAACCCTCCTCCTCGGATGCGATTGCTGGAGGGCAGCTCTGGGTGTTTGGTTCCACGTGTTTTTCTCTGCATTTACATGCACGTGCAGTACCACTCTAAGTATCTCCCACCTGCTCTTTCCCACTGCCAGCACGTCCTGGACAAGCACCCCTCATTTTGTTGCTGTCTAGCAGGTGCCCCATGCTGCAAAACCTCCTTTCTTCATTTGTGTTGCCTCAGTTGTTGATAATTAATAAAAATTTACAAGTTAAAAAAAAAAATAAGCCAGGGCTTTCTCCCCTACGCCTCCAAGGACAGAATAAAGATCATCTCTGAGCAGCAGGCTAATGATTTAATACGAGGGCCCTCCTCAGTAGCGGTGGCTGTACCAGTCATTGTTGTTGACCTGAAGCAGCTCCGTCACAACCTGCAGGATGTTGTAATTGTGTTTCTTCAGCAGCCTGAGGTTCAGCTGCCGGTCACAGAATCCCATTTCGAAGAGATGGGCCATCAGGGCTGCTGTCTGATCTTCAGAAACTACTGGCTGTATAAAGTCAAGAAAAGCAGAGCAACGTTTTCGGTATCACATATGTGCCTTGTCAATTGTTACTATCTTGCAAATCATACAAATCTTTCCAAGATCTGTTTAAAATATTACGGATTTCAACGCAAGGGTGGGGCCACTCCTGTCCACCTGCCACCATCGTGCGCGCCACCTGAGGGAGGGCTGGGAAGGCCCCGCTCTGGATTCCCCGTGTTTGTACCCAGAACTGGGCAACTCAGGAACTGTCCTTTGGCCCGATAAAGGAAAAGATGCAAGCAAGTACTGGAAACACTGTGAAGATAAAGCTAACTGTGCTGATGGGGCCAGTGGAGGCAGGGGCAGAGACGTCACCGGGAGATCGGGGTCAGCTACGCAAAGGGGCTAAACAAGAAACTGTTTGTGAAATGACATCTTGGGCGACGTTCTTGGCATTTCCCCCCCCTTTTTAAAGAACAGAAGCTGGGGCGCCTGGGTGGCTCAGTGGGTTAAAGCCTCTGCCTTCGGCTCGGGTCGTGATTCCAGGGTCCTGGGATCGAGCCCCGCATCGGGCTCTCTGCTCGGCAGGGAGCCTGCTTCCTCCTCTCTCTCTCTCTGCTTCTCTGCCTACTTGTGATCTCTGTCTGTCAAAATAAATAAATAAAATCTTAAAAAAAAAAAAAAAAGAACAGAAGCAATCCACGAAAGAGGGAGCTAACATTCCTTTACCTCCCTCTTTGAGCCAAGCCCTGTCATAGACACACAAGCTTCCTAAATCCTACCACTTTGGATTACCCTTTTTAAATTTTTTTATTAATTTTTTATTTGTTTTTTAAAGATTTTACTTATTTGACAGAGAGAGATCACAAGTAGGCATGGAGGCAAGCAGAGGAGGAAGCAGGCTCCCCGCTGAGCAGAGAGCCAGACGTGGGGCTAGATTCCAGGACCCTGGAATCACGACCTGAGCCGAAGGCAGAGGCTTTAACCCACTGAGCCACCCAGGTGCCGCCTTTTTAAAAAATTAACAGATAGTGTATTACTAGTTTCAGGGGTAGAGTTCAGCGATTCATCAGTTGCATATCACACCAACTGCTCATTCCATCACGTGCCCTCCTTAGTGCCCATCACCGTTACCCCAGCCCCGCCCCTCCCCTCCAGCAACCTTCAGTTTGTTCCCTAGAGATTTTTTTAATATATTTTTTTAAATTTATTTTTATTTATTTGACAGACAGAGATCACAAGCAGGCAGAGAGGCAGGCAGAGAGAGAGGAGGGGAAGCAGGCTCCCTGACAAGCAGAGAGCCCGATGCAGGGCTCGATCCCAAGACCCTGGGATCATGACCTGAGCTGAAGGCAGAGGCTTTAACCCACTGAGCCACCCAGGCGCCCCAGTTTGTTCTCTTATAGTTTGTCTCTTATAGTTTTGTCTCTTATAGTTTGTCTCCTTCTCTGTTTTCGTCCTATTTTAGTTTTCCTTCCCTTCCCCTATGTTCCTCTGTTTTGTTTCTTAAATTCCACATATGAATGAAATCATATGGCATTTGTCTTTCTCTGACTTTCTTTGCATAATACCCTCTAGCTCCAACCACGTTGCTGCAAACGGCAAGATTTCCCTCCTGAATTACTCTCTTACCAATTACTTACCGTCCTACCAATTAATTCTCTTGTGTAGGAAACAGATACAAAATACCTCGTTTGGAAGGGTTGTTGAGAGGATTAAGACAAGCGTGTGTATACATGTTGAACACAGTCTCTGGCATTTCCTCTACACCTAACTCCACTGTTCCCTTCTTCCCTCTTATTTCAGAATAAACTATCACCCTCCTTTCCAGAATCGTCCTTCCACACATCCTTTTGCTTGCTATTTTGTGATTTCTCATCACCTCAGAAATCTCTTCCTGTGTATCACCTCTTGACTGTTAACCACCTTTGCTACTGGCTCGGCCAAGTGTAGAAACACCACTCTCGCTCTGCCTTCTGCGGCCCAGCTTTCGCTCTTTCCCTCTGTGCTCCAGCTACCGGAGCATGAGGCATACTCCGAGGCCTCTCCGCCTGCTCCCTGTTCTCAGGCGGCTCTGGCCCTTCCTCCCCGTTCAAGTTCCCTTCCCTGAGCTCCATCCAGCACATCTTCCTCCCACTTCTCAGGCTCCTGGGCAAGGCCCTTCTTCTTCTCTGGATTTTTTGTTTTTTGTTTTTTAAAGATTTTATTTATTTGACAGAGAGAGACACAGCGAGAGAGGGAGCACAAGCGGGGGAATGGGAGAGGGAGCAGCAGGTTTCTGGCGGAGCAGGAGTAGATGCAGGACTCGATCCCAGGACCCTGGGATCATGACCTGAACCGAAGGCAGATGCTTAACAACTGAGCCACCCAGGAGCCTCTCTTTCTTGGATTCTTAAAGGCTCCATCTTGCTTTTACACCCTTTCTTCCTGGAAACTCACTGAATCACGTGGTTTCTGCTGGACTGTGTATACAGGGAACTTGACCTCCAGGCCAAATCACTCCTCTGAGCCACAGGAACATGCCCAGCTGCACTATGGGTAACGTGCCTCCAACTCCACACCATCCAAAATGGACCTAATTTTCTTCTCCTCCTGCCCAAATATATCCTTCTTCTTGGATATCCCCTCTTAGTGAATGATACTATCTGCCCAAAGCCAGAAACTCAGGATTCCTCCTTGACTTCTTTCTAGCCTCTTAATCATGGTCTCCCAAGTTCTGCCATTTCTCTTTCTCTTCTACCCTTCTTTTCCATCTACACATGGGTTCTCAAATGGATTTCCTTAGGGCTCCCCCAACCTCCACATGGTAATGGAATTATCTTACTAGGCACAAATCTGATGTTAATCACTTTCCTAAAGCCCATTCCCTGCTCCTCCCCCCACCACAAGTCTTAAAATAACACCCAAACCACTCAACACAGCACCCCTACCTACATAGATTGGGTTTTTCTCTTTTTACTCTTCCCAGCCCAAATTCACCTTGCCGGATCACGTTTCCAACTCTTTTTACTGGCTAGTCTCTGTCACGGTGCTTTCTATTCTCCCTTCCTGGCACATACTTATTTTGTCCTTAAGAACTCAGCTCAGGCGCCATCTACCAGGAAGCCTGGTAGCCACAGAGGGGCCCACAGCAGGGGTGCCCGAGGTGTTCCACCCGAGAACACTGGCGCAGGATCTTACACTAACTGTTCACCTTACTTGTGTCCCACTGTCTTTTGGGCAAGGACTGGTGTCTTCTTCACCTTGTAGCACGTACTTGCAAGAGCTCCCCACACGTAACAGGTCCTCAACAAACATTAGGTCTTTTTCCTTTCTTCCCTTAAGTAACTTGGCTAAAATCCTATAGCTAGAAAGTGCCAGAATGCTATACTACTTTCCAGCCTAGGCAGGGAGCATCATTTTCCCCAGTGATTTGGCTTCTGTCGAAGAAAAGGAAACATACACTGACCTGGGCAGTGACTGGTGGCCCAGCAAACAAGGCCTTGTATGCAGAAGCAGCAACAGACAAAGCCCCCTTCACGAGTCCTCCGGCAATGCTGCTCCCATGGTGGTGTTGCCTGGGGAGGAAAACCAAATTATCTCCCTAAAAAACACAAACTATTAGCTTCCTGTAAGCTAATCTGGGCTCTAATCCTTGAAAGAAAATGGATTTCCCTGAGGAAAAAAGTCAGATGTAAAAAAGAGAATGTGATCATTTTCCTATTAGTTTTATGGCTAAAACCTTGGTTTGATGTAGAGTCCAGCTCTACTGCTGCAAGGTTAAGGCATGCAGAAAAGACACTCCTCTTTCTGTAAACACTGGCTTTCTGTCCCAGCTGAATATTATGTGGTCAAGGCCAAAAAAGGGTATTTAGCAGTCTGTCTGCTTAATTATCATCTCAGAGGACACACCTCCAGAGGAAATGTGATTTTCTGGATACTGGAGGGAGGAATCACCTTGCCACGGAACTGAGATGATTGGAAGCAGAGAGGCAGGCATGTTTAAGAAACTACTATGAAGACGCACCGTGGGCTTGACCTTCCTGCCTTCTTTGGTACTAAGGTGAGGTAAATTTGAGAGTACTGGTCTGGACTGTGAACTTTTTTTTTTTTTTTTAAAGATTTTATTTTTTCAAGTTATCTCTACACCCAATGTGTGGCCCGAGCTCACAACCCCGCGATCAAGAGTCATACGCTATACTGGCTAAGCCAGCCAGGCACTCCTGGAATGTGAACAC